TGTTATTCTTCCAAAGGAAGGGACTCCATTTCTATTTCCTCGACCTCATCGATCAACTAAGATCATCCTAGGTCATTAGTTTAATTTAACTTCAAATGTCCTAAATTACAATTTAACAGTTTGAATATGAAACTTTTAAAAAACTTTGGACTAATATTAGAAACCAATTTTTCAGGAGAATGGTCGAATTCAGATGTTGAAACGATTGTAAACCAGGCCAACAGGTTGGAAGTACCACCACCAACTTCTGATGCACATACCATCAATGGCAGACCAGGGTCACTCTTCCCGTGCTCTCAGAAAGGTATGTATTACAATTTATATTCTGGTGTCATGTTCAAATCTATCCTCCATGCTTACACGATTATTTTTCATTTTAGATACTTTTACTATGGAAGTGGAGTCAGGAAAAACGTACCTCCTGAGGATCATCAATGTTGCACTCAACGACCAGCTGTTCTTCACCATCAGCGGTCACACCATGACTATGGTGGAAATTGATGCAGTTTACACCAAGCCCTTCACGACACGAGCCGTCTTGATTGCATTGCACCAGGTCAGACAACAAACGTTCTAGTTAAAGCAGATCAAGCTCCAGGGTGGTATTTCATGGCGGCAAGGCCTTTCATGGATGCACCAGTTCCGTGGATAACAAGACAGTCACAGCCTTTCTACAGTACAAGGGAATGCCCAACACAGTTCTAGCATCATCCTTGCCCACATTTCCTGCTCCGAACAACACCAAGTTTGCCTTGAATTATAACAGTAAGATCCAGAGTTTAAACAGCCCGCAATACCCAGTGAAAGTTCCCCTGAAAGTGGACCACCGTCTTGTTTACACCATTGGTTTGGGGGCAAATCCATGTGCCACCTGCCAAAACGAAACTCGACTAACGGCTTCATTGAACAACATCGCCTTTGTGATGACAAAAATGGGGCTTCTCCAAGCTCATTACTTCAACATCTTAGGGGTGTTCAGGATTGATTTCCCTGACCGTCCACCGGTTCCGTTCAACTACACCGATGCACCACTGACGGCTAACCTGGCGACATCATCAGGAACAAAGCTGAGATTCAATTCAACCGTAGAACTAGTGTTACAGGACACCAATCTCCTCACTGTTGAGTCACACCCGTTTTCATCTTCATGGTTTCAATTTCTTTGTCGTCGAAAGTGGGATAGGAAACTTCAATTCGGCCAAAGATCCAGCTAAGTTCAACCTAGTTGATCCTCCAGAAAGAAAGACCGTTGGAGTTCCGACCGGAGGGTGGACAGCAATCAGGTCCAGAGCTGATAATCCAGGTAATTTAGATTTGTTGTTGCATGTGGGTTCTGCATCGTGGTTGAAAAAGCATGCCAATTTCAGCATTTGAAATTTGGTTGCATGGGAAATCTCATGGCAACTGATTTTTTGTTGAAAAAATGGGAAATCTCGTGGCAGCCTTTGAAATGGAAATTTGCTTGTTGTAACTTTGTCCATGCAACATTTATTGTGCATGGTTGGATTATGACTTTGCAGCCCATTGCATTTATTGTGGGTGGTTGGCTTTTCGGCTATAAAAGGCCATTTGGCCATTCCGCAAATCATCAAGAGAAATCCAAAAGAAAGTAGAGTTAGCTCTAGAAAATTCAAGAGAGCTGTTAGTGCTTTGGGTGAGGCTGGGCAAGAGCAAAGCAGGGAGGTTAAAATACTTTACAGAGTGGTTTTTTGAGCGTGTCTCGCATTCAAAAATACTATAGGTAAGATTTGGATATACTTGAGGATTAGGTATTTATGAGAGTACTATAAATTGTATTTCCCTATTTAATAGTGAATTTTTCTTATGAGTGCTTATTGATGTGAAAACAAAGAATAATAGATAGTTAACTGCATGTTTTGCTGCTAACTTTCGATTACAATGTTTCCTATTGCAAGTGTCTGGTTTATGCATTGTCATCTGGAACTGCACACAATGTGGGGTTTGAAGATGGCTTTTGTCGGGGAGAATGGAAAGTCACTGGACGTATCTATCCTGCCACCACCAAAGGATCTTCCACCTTGCTAAATACCCTGTTCTTCACATTGCATATCCATTTTATTGTAACTAGCTTCTTTGCATACAATTGCGGATGAAATTTCCCAAAATTCTAATTCTTTGTTTGAGATTCTTTTGAGGTTAACATGAGATGATCATACCTTATTAAAAAAATGTAATCAGTCGACAGTAATTAAAAAAGAATCAAAAATCTACGCATTCAACATGAACATCAAACATAGTTGAAATACAAAGGGAAACGTGTATCCAGTTAGTTGGTTTTCAAAGAATCACAATTCATCTCACCATTTTCACAATTTT